TTCTAAAAAAGACCCAATACCTCTATAACAAGCACTGCCCTAAAAAACTAAACAGATGATGCAAAGAGACTGAACAGTCCCTGGCTAAACACCCAGTATCCTCAAATCCATAAATAACAAAGCACCTATACGAAAAACAGTACGAATGGGCACATAACCAGAGACCAAACAAAACGTTACTCGTCAATCCAAACCCAGTCTAATAAAAAGGGGCTAAAAATTGTATTATGAGAACAGATTATCCAACTTACGAGGTGACATAAAAAAGACCTGGAAAAACCCTATCAGAAATACTAGGAACAAAAAAGATAACACAAAATAGCGAAATTGAATTAACAAAACCAGATAAACCCCCAATTCCCACCTATTTAAAAACAGCAAACAGACTCAATGTTTTCTTTTTCCACTATGGGAAAAAAACCCTTGCCAATAAAATCCCAAGCTCAGTTTACCCCACCAATGACTACCTCACTGGCAACTCCCCGAACCCCCAACTGTTCCTAGCTCCGACTAACCCAACTGAAGTCTCCCTTATTATCAACAAACTAAAAAACAAGACAGAGATTTAAATACCTTACCACCTTTATATACAAAAAAGTGTCACAGGTGCTATCACCAATCATTGCAACACTCTTTAACAAATCCATTGAACCCTCTACTTTCTCAGTTCTCAAAATAGTAAGGGTCACCCCGATCCATAAAGGAGGAGACCACACAGACTTGAATAACTGTAGGGCCAATATCCAACTTTCCCACCCTCTCTCTAAAACTTAAAAAATTAATCCATAAGCATATCTATTCCTACCTCATCCCCCACAACATACTCAACCCCTGTCAATTTGGGTTCAGGCCTAATAAAAATACTAATGATGCTATTATCCACATGCTAGAACATATTTATACAGCAATAGAGAAAAAAGAAGTCCCACTGGGGATCTTCATGATTACATAAAGCTTTCGATACATTTGACCACGACTTGCTCCACTAAAATTGTCACACTATGATATAAGAGGGAAACTCCCTCAATACCTAAAGTCATACCTCAGCACAGAAGCCAATATGTGTACACAAATGGGGGCAAACTCTTCCGCACAGCCAATTACAGTTTGGTGTCCCACAGGGAAGTGTCTGGGCCCCTCTTCTCTTTCTCATATACATAAACGACTACCAAATGCATCGCAACTACTAAAACCCACACTATTTGCAGATGACACTACATACGTCTACTCTACCCGAGCCCAGTCATACTAGCCAATACTGTAAATACCGAATTACAGAAAATATCAACCTGGATGAGGACCAACAAACCCTTATCTAAACATTTACAAAACTGCTACATTCATTTGGTAACAGAGCTGCAGATGTGTCTCTTAACAATGATAAATGGATCACCTATCACAAAACTCCAGAGGGAAATTCCTAGGAATCTACCTTGATAATAGACTCAAATTTCAAACAATATACAAAAATTTCCAAAAAAAATTCCAAGACCGTAGGCATTTCTATCGAAGATAAGGTACTATGTTCCACAGTCAGCCCTCCTGGCCTATATTCACTCACTTATTTACCCTTATCTCACTATGGAATTTGTGCATGGGCTCAACAACAATAAACCATCTCAGCCACTAATCACCCAACAAAAGGCTGCAGTCAGAATGATAACAAATTCCCACTACAGGCAGCACACTCCACCAATATTCAAACTCTAAACCTACTCACAATACAAAACATCCATACTATTACTGCACCCACTACATACATAGAACACTTAACTCTGACATAAACCCTCCCTCAAACTCTTACCAACCTCAACAGAAACACATGACCATAACACAAGACACAGATCACTCTTTGATGTTCCTCATGTCCATCTCACGCTATGCAAAAATAAATGCACATAAAGGCCCTAAAATCTGGAATTCATTACCTGTGAATATAAAAGAAATGCTGTCTGTTTATAAATTCAAGTCTCTTCTCAAAAATCACTTACTCACCACAACTAAATAAATACTGAATAATTTTATCTCATAAATTGTATCTCACATATGTATCTCATTATTGTATCTCATAAATGTCAACCCGTGACCCAATCAAACTTTTGTTACTATTTAACTTCATTACCTAACAGAATACTCCATTCTACTGATTACACAGCAACACAGTAATGACCATATGACCTGTCTTTGTAATTTCTCATTTGTACTAAATTGTTATCTGTTTTACAATAATTTTTGTACCACTGAATATATCATTGCTTAGTTAATCTTAAGTTAATTTTAAGCCTGCGCATAATGCTCTGCATACAAGGGGCTTTGGCATGCTGCACTTTAAAAATTGTATTCCTTGTACTTCTCTGTATCATGTTCAAATTAAATAAATAAATAAATAAATAAATAAATAAATACTGTTTGTACAGCAATGCATGCAACCATACGACTCTGTTTTTGTAATACTCATTTGTGCTTGTTATCTGTTTACAATAATGTTTTACCACTGAATACTTCATTGCTTAGTTAATCTTAAGTTAATTTTAAGCCTGCCCGTAATGCTATGCATTCAAGTGGCTTTGGCATGCTGCATTTAACTGTTTTCTTTTGTACTACACTGTATCATGTTCAAATAAATAAATAAATAAATAAATAAATGAGCTGGACTTTAAATTATCCAAAACCACCCCTATGGCATTATCTCAGATGACTGTATTCATGGAGAATGCTAAATCTGTACGGGTCATATAGTGCCTGGGAAAATGGAAGGCATTCAGATTCAATTCAAGGAATTGGAGCACAAGTGCAACCTAGATAGATAGTGAATGTGAGTAGAACCTACCCAACATGAGCCAAAAGGCTACTATAGTACAGTGGACCCCTGCCTTACGATCAGCTTCAAATGCGACCAATTATGTAAGTGTTTTTGTACGTGTATTTTTGGGGGTCTGAAACGGACTAATCTAATTCACAATATTCCTTACGGGAACAAATTCGTTCGGTAACGGCACCTGAACATACTTCTGGAGTGAAATTATATTGTAAGGCGGGGGTCCACTGTACTCTTCATTCTTGTGTTCTGTTATGCTGTATCACTCCTGTAACTGTTAATAACCAAAACAATACAACAATTTATTCATCACATGTACTCTCCTGGTCATGAGGCATCACTGTAACAAGCCTTACAATATATTACGACTGTTCTCTTCAAACATTCACTTAGCTATAGGAAAATTTTTTTCTAATTGCATGCATGCACTATTACACATCTTATTATTTACTCCTGTATTAAAGCATTTTAGACCCTTGGATAATGTGACCACCAATAACACAAATTCAGCAACCTGTGACTGAAAAACTGCTCCCAGCACTTCAATATGTGCTTAAAGATTTCCCTATGCACACACTGCCTCAGTTTTTTTAATATGTAGATATTAACCAATATTATAATTATTATTATAATCAAATAGAAGTACTTATTAACCAACAGGGCCACACAAACCATCTCCATACACTTTTAACAGGCAAAAGGCATACAGAATTCAAAGCACACTGTTATGTTAACAGGGAAAGGAACAAGGAATTCAAAGCAAGACAAAATCCTCTCTTTTTAACTTTTAAGCTTATTATATAAGAAAAAAACTGTGTAGTGACAGTACAAGTACCTCAGTTGATTATGAGACCACCAGAAATTTCCCTATAAATTTTGTGGCCCAATAAGGCCACATGACCCAACTCTTCCTACTTCTACAGCAACTAGTAATAGGAAGAACAAAAATGTAGTGAATGTGTGGTATGATGCTGACCACAGCAGTGATGCTGGTTCTTGGTAAGTCCTGCTTCTTAGTTTCTATGGAAGGAATACACACTCAACTGAGTCAGTAACCAGCTATGCCCAGACCAGTGGTGTATAGTTAGTGAATGTACAGGTAATGTATAGGGCCAAATTAACCCTTTCCAATATGTACATCTATGCTAGTGGCTTTTTGTGCTTAACAATATTTACTACATGTAAACTACACTTTGTATACTACACAAAGTGCAAGTGACAGTTGGTAAAGTATGTATAGCTATTGTAAAGAACCACATTAACTTTCTACACACTTGCATATCAACCAGCAACAGAAGCCAAAATTTAAAGCAAGGTTTTTGTTGTACCTCTTTTGGCTATTTTAAAAATAAAAAATTTGCCTTTATCTGATTTCCAAGGCACATAACCCTATTTTTCCTATATATTCTTCACTTTCCTAGGTAGTAGGTTGGTAGACAGCAACCGCCCAGGGAGGTACTACCGTCCTGCCAAGTGAGTGTAAAACGTAAGCCTGTAATTGTTTTACACGATGGTAGGATTGCTGGTGTTTTTTCTGTCTCATAAATATGCAAGGTTTCAGGTACGTCTTGCTACTTCTGCTTACACTTAGGTCACACTACACATACATGTACAAGCATATGTATACACACCCCTCTGGGTTTTCTTCTAGTTTCTTACTAGCTCTTGTTCTTGTTTATTTCCTCTTATCTCCATGGGGAAGTGGAACAGAATTCTTCCTCCGTAAGCTATGCGTGTTGTAAGAGGCGACTAAAATGCCAGGAGCAAGGGGCTAGTAACCCCTTCTCCTGTATATATTACTAAATGTGAAAGGAGAAACTTTTGTTTTTCCTTTTGGGCCACCCCGCCTCGGTGGGATACGGCTGGTGTGTTGAAAGAAAGAAAGATTCTTCACTTTGAATAGTACCAATTTTTGTCAGCATAATCTATGTAATACTAGAGGGTCTGCCATTTTCCTATTCAGTCAACTCAACATGCTTTTATTAGAAATTCACTTTCTTAGTCCTGAACAAATTTGAAGAGTGTAAAACCCAAGGCAAAACACTCTTGTTGCCAAGGTTCTATTGTATTGCACCTTGTATTGTCTTTTCAAGATGAAAGTGATCCAACTTTAAAATTTCAGCTTATAAATTGAAACCTAGTCTGTGTAATATAAAATACAAATGAAAAGAAAATTACAAACCTGAACTGGATTTGCTTCCACTTTCTGAGTTTCAAAGGTGTAGATGACCCACATCGTTAGGTTACAGATAAGCAGGAACGTAACAACCTGACGGCCAGGTTTAGTCCGTTCGTGTTCTGGCAGGGAAACCTGACGACGCTGAGTGTCCTTTATGAATACCATCTGAATTATCACCTGCAATTAACAAACTTATTTTATTAACTGCTTTACACCTTAACCCTCTGAGGGTTCAGACCCCCAATCTGAAATTTGTCGACAGGGTGAATGAATCCCCCCCCCCAAAAAAAAAAAAAAAAAAAATATGAAACCAAAGGCACGAAATGATGAAAAAATTGTTGGAATTATGCTTTTGCAAAGCTGGCAATTTTGCCCATTTTGGGTCCTGCTTCAGGCCAATTCCATTGTTCCAGTTGACCATAAGAACATAAGAATATAAGAAAGGAGGAACACTGCAGGAGGCCTGTTGGCCCATACTAGGCTTGTGTTGTGTCAACTGAGCACAAGAAACTGCCCATTAAACTATTTCAATTACTCAATAAAGTGATTGGAAATTGGTAATTTGGCCAATTTAATACAGAATAAAAAAAATGCCATTTTAAAAATAGAGTCCAGAATAAACAATGTAGAAAGTTCTGGCACTAAAACAACATTTCCTCTGTTCATTAGTTATGTTCCAAAGTTTCTCCTATATTACACTTGGTTTCTATTTGAATTTTTATTTGCACAATAAATAGTAGATTTACTGTTATGCAGACTACTGCATTATTGTAATATGTAATTGTATAACTAATGTCCGTGCATTCATGAACACGTATTAGATGGGCCAGTTGGACACACATTGTTTGAGTGACATGATTTATGTTTCATTGGCTGAATTCATAAAGTATGTAATGGACTCGTTGATAAATAATTTTGTATATAGACATATGAACAGTTCATTGAGGAAACATTTTGCTGCAAGTGGTTTCTTCAGTTCATTACTACCATAATTTCTTAGCTAGCAAAATGTTGAGGTGCAGCTCCTAGAACCAATAGGGCAAAATAGTTTTTGGGGAAAATAAAGTTATCAAATAAATTAATTAAAATAAATAGTAAAAAAAGCCTAAAGGAAAAAAAAAAAAAAAAAAAGGAGGTCTGTTAAATTTAAAGGAAAAAAAGCCAAATTTCGCCATATGAATGAATTTGAGGCATAATAAGCAAAATTTAAAAAGGAATTTTTGTAAGTGGAACCCTTTTTAGGGTTTAAAATCCATTCCGTGACCTTGTTCAATCTCATTTGCTCTTTGTTGAGTCAATTTTCCTTTTTAAATAAGTGAAAGGGAAATCTTTTCAAGGGAATTCCAGGCATGAAAAAATACTTAATATTTCCCAAATACGGTAATACGGCTTTTAAATCTATCACAATTCATCAAATATGACATAATAAACAATTTTAAATAACATAGAAAATGATATATACACAAGAATGAATGAAATGCATTATGTATGTGGCTAGGATAGGGTGATAGTGGGGCACGGTCTTGTTGTTTTTGGGTGTATAAGGCCACCAAACACCCATTCCTGCCCCTGAAACATAATGACTACATACCTTTCCCTGGAAAGCCAGAGTAATTAAGAGGGGATGGGAACGTGACAAAATAACAGGAAAATGTTTTTTTAGTCCCAGGAATTTGCATTGTTCCCCTTTTTTGAAAATTTGTGTGAAATTTTGGCCCCAAATTGCAAATTTTCTGACCACTTTTGGGTTTGAAATGGGTGAATGGGCGGTTTTTGTATCATCGTGAATAAAGTAATTTTATTCAGGTATAACAAATACAGTTACATAGTTTATCTACATGAGCATATGTATACAAAACCCGAGGAAACCAAAAAAGTAGACGTGATTTTTTCAGACCTGGGGGGGTTCCATATTGTTTTTTTGGGTAAATATTTTTTTCTCAGTTGTTCGTTGGGTTATCTTATTGAAACTTGGGCAATTTATGATGGAAAGATGCTTCTTAACGTACACCAAAAATGAAAAAAAAATTGGACAATAAATAACGGAGTTCACTTCTCAGCCATTAGCTGCCCCTTAGCAGTATATTTTCGTGTGGTTTTTATGGTTGTATTCTCGTTTTTGTGGTCTCATTTGATAGACTGGAAGCCATATTACAGAAACAGATATAATTTTGATTGGTTTCACGACGAAAAGTACCTTGAAATTGAGCTTAAAGTAGTGCAAATGTTCCATTTTTGATGATGTTCAATGAACTTTCTTGTGTAAGTCAAGCTGATTAACTTTATTAAGTGTATTCTAACCTAACCACTCTGTAATCCAGCAAATTCAATAATCCAGCACACTACAGGTCTCAGTGATGCTGGATTTGTGATGGTGGACCCGTATCTTGATGACAACATTCTCCATAGTCAAAAATCAGGCTTTAGGAGATCTTACTCAACCAACACCTCCCTAATTAATCTGATGAATTACATGAAAATTGACATGTTGATAAGGAACCTCAGAAATGGTAACCTTAGACTTGCAAAAGGCCTTCGATACTGACTACCACAATATATTATATAAGAAACTTCAAGCTATCGGCATAGGTTCCGACGACTGGTTTAAGTCCTACCTTAGCAACAGGAAACAAATTGTCAAAAATCAACAAAACAGAATCAGAACCCCTGCTGATAGCATGTGGTGTTCCCCAAAGTGGTATTCCGGGTCCCGTATTATTCCCATGTTATATAAACGACATGCCCATCAGTGTCAAGTGCAAACTCCTACTGTATATAGATGAGAGTGCTTTGTTAGTGTCAGGTAAAGACCTACAAGATACAGTGGAACCTTGACTTACGAGTTTAATCCATTCTGTGACCTAGCTTGTAACTCAATTTACTCATATATCAAATCAATTTTCCTCATTTAAATTAACTGAAAAGCCATTAACCCTTTGACTGTTTCAGGTCCCTCTCTGAAACTGTCATTCTATGTCGCCAAATATTCAAAAAAAAAAAAAATTATTTTTTCTTATGAAAATGTTAAGATTATTTTTCTGAGTGTTTTAGTCCAAAAAAAAAATTTTTGCCATCGGTACTTACCGAGATATAGAGCCATGAAGTTTGCAGAAAATGAGCCGCGTATGGCAACAGCGGCGACTGCCGCTCACCCGGTAAACTTTAGTTTACTTGTAATTGAAGGTTTTTTGTTTTTTTCACTATTTTTTTTTTCACATAACTTATGTGGCCTATGAGACCAAAGTAAGGTGCAATGTATATATATACACTCGTTGTATACAACACAACAAGCACACAAACATAATTACAAATATTGTTTACAAAACTTGTTTACAAAAACAAACAAACAATTCTTCTTCTTCTTCCCTTCCTCTTCCTCTTCTCCTCTTCCTCTTCCTCCTCTTTTCCCTCCTCCTCTTCCTCCTCCTCTTCCTCTCCTTTTCCCTCTCCTCTTCCTCCTCTTCCTCCTCCTTTTCCTCCTCCTCTTCCCTCCTCTTCTTCCCTCTTCCTCCTCCTCTTCCTCCTCCTTTTCCTCCTCCTCTTCCTCCTCCTCTTCCTCCTCCTCTTCCTCCTCCTCTTCCCCCTCTTCTTCTTCTTCCTCCTCCTCTTCTTCTTCCTCCTCTTTTCTTTTCCCTTTCCTCTTCTTCTTCCTCCTCCTCCTCCTCTTGGGCGATTTGTGGCTTAAATTGTTTTGAGTCAGGAGGTCGGCAGCTGTCAAAGTGACATATTTGTCTTAGTACTTACCCCTACCACCTGTCAAAACAATGGGGTCGGATGCTGCTTCCCCTCCCCCAAATTCTATCTAATTATCTTTCTCCCTCATTTTATATCTTTCAATCTGTCTCTCTTTCTATCTGTCTTGCCTATCTCTGTCTCACAGGTACACATAAATACAAGTATACATAGTGTAAATTACCTAGGATAACCCAAGAAATCCAGACAAAGTGCTATACTCTGCTTGAAGATGTGAGTAAACGTGATGACACAGTCTTGTGGCTCTCTCTGAGACAGAGAGCTAGATGGACAGACAGGGAGCTTGAAAACAGACAAATAGACAGACAGAAATGTTTGTGTACCAGCAAAAAACAAAGGAGGGCAATGGTCATGTAATATTACCCTCCTTTACCCTCATCAAAGTCAGCTCTTATCAGATGTTATCTCCCCTTATCTTGTCACTGTCATGGGGTGGACTTTTTTTTTTTGCTTCAAGGGAACAATATTATTACATCTTCTTCTTCCCCCTCCTCCTCCTCCTCTTCTCCTCCTCCTCCTCCCCCTCCTCCTCCTCCTCTTCTTCCTTCCCTCCTCCTCCCCTCCTCCTCCTCCCCTTCTCCCCTCCTCCCCCCCCTCCTCCTCCATTGCTTTTGGTCTCAAAAATCCTCCAAAACATGAAATTGATCTTCACTGACACTTCCATCTGTGTTAGAGCATCACTTGGGGAAAAGAAGAGTCCCAGATTTGCTGGGGAATCACATATTTTTTACCGCTAGAAAATGCTGAAAATGACAACTGAATGGCATTCCCACAATGCACCACTGGCTCCCCGATTTTTTTTATATGGTGCACACTGACCATGGAGACCCATTCTCTCACATGTGGGCCTACCAGCTTTCTCCTGCTTGATTTGAAGCTGCTAGAATTTATGCGTATAAATACGTCAGAAACATTGGCTCGTAAGACGTATTTATACGTCGGAAACAGTCAAAGGGTTAATCCATTCCTGCACTCTGGTGACAAGACAGAATGCTTGCATATGACACTAATATCAACTGTACAGCTTATTTATCTATCACAATTCATCTAATATGACATAATAAATAATATAATTAACACAGAAACATGATATATACTCTAGAATGAATAAAATACGTAGGCCATAATATGATGGCAGAGGCAGCAGCAGAAGCGTCCACCATTTCCTGTCTAACTCTGTCTAGAGTATCTTCTCGTGCTCTTATTGTAAGAGAAAACGGAGTATTTGTGAGGCTAACTGCAGAAATATCGTAATACATAAATCATAATACACTACAGAATGTAAAGAAATGTTAAACTGTTTATATAAAGTGTATATGTACTTACACACTTGGAGCAGGGATGGTGGGGTAGGCTGAGGATGGGGGATGCTGAGGGTGTGGGATGCTGAGGGTAGGGGAGGTTGAAGGTGGGGGAGGTTGAGGCTGTAGCGTATGATGTCAGTGGCCTTGTAAACCTCAAACAGCATTGTTTTGTTTGATCACTGAATATAACTGATACAATTTGTTTTTTTAATCACTGAATATAACTGATACAATTTGTTTTGTTTAATCACTGAACATAACTGATACAATTTGTTTTGTTTAATCACTGGACATAACTGATACAGCTTTAGTATCTACATATCGTAGATGTACTAGGCTGGTATTGCCTGGCTAAGTCCATGGAAATCATCGTCTTTTTCTTCTCAGCACTGTCCTTTGCACTTATTTTCTTAGGACCCATGGTTAGAAAAAAGAAATTGGGCCAAATGACTGTAAAAAAAAAATGCAAGCAAGCATGAAAGAACTGCTCCCACAGCTATGTAAACATGTGTACAATGTTTTGGCATCAGGTGTGCCATCTAGCAGCAGCATTCTGAATTATTATTACATACGTATTATGTATTATTATTATTAATTTAGGGAACTGAAGCTCTATCATTATTATAATAATAATAATTATTATTATTATTAATTTAGGGAACTGAAGCTCTATCATTATAATAATAATAATAATATCAGGTTGGAGGGAGAGAGTATGGAGGAGGTGAATTTTTTTTTTTTTTCAACAAGTTGGCCGTCTCCCACCGAGGCAGGGTGACCAAAAAAAGAAAGAAAATCCCCAAAAACAAAATACTTTCATCATCATTCAACATTTTCACCACACTCACACATTATCACTGTTTTTGCAGAGGTGCTCAGAATACAACAGTTTAGAAGCATATACATATAAAGATACACAACATATCCCTCCAAACTGCCAATATCCCAAACCCCTCCTTTAAAGTGTAGGCACTGTACTTCCCATTTCCAGGACTCAAGTCCAACTATATGAAAATAACCGGTTTCCTTGAATCCCTTCAATAAATATTACCCTGCTCACACTCCAACAGATTGTCAGGTCCCAAGTACCATTCATCTCCATTCACTCCTATCTAACACGCTCACACACACTTGCTGGAGGTGAATGTATTCAGATATTTAGGAGTGGACGTGTCAGCAGATGGGTCTATGAAGGATGAGGTGAATCATAGAACTGATGAGGGGAAAAAGGTGAGTGGTGTGCTTAGGAGTCTGTGGAGACAAAGAACTTTGTCCGTGGAAGCAAGAGGGGAATGTATGAGAGTATAGTTGTACCAACACTCTGTATGGGTGTGAAGCATGGGTGATGAATGTTGCAACAAGGAGGGGCTGGAGGCAGTGGAGATGTCATGTCTGAGGGCAATGTGTGGTGTGAATATAATGCAGAGAATTCGTAGTTTGGAAATTAGGAGAAGGTGTGGGATTACCAAAACTATTATCCAGAGGGCTGAGGAGGGGTTGTTGAGGTGGTTCAGACATGTAGAGAGAATGGAACAAAACAGAATGACTTCGAGTGTATAAATCTGTAGTGGGGCAAAGGTAGGGTAGGGGTCGGCCTAGGAAGGGTTGGAGGGAGGGGGTAAAGGAGGTTTTGTGTGCGAGGGGCTTGGACTTCCAGCAAGCATGCGTGAGCATATTTGATAGGAGTGAATGGAGACAAATGGTTTTTAGTACTTGACGTGCTGTTGGAGTGTGAGCAAAGTAACATTTATGAAGGGATTCAAGGAAGCCAGCAGGCCAGACTTGAGTCCTAGAGATGGGAAGTACTATGTCTGCACTCTGAAGGAGGGGTGTTAATGTTGCAGTTTTATAACTGTAGTGTAAAGCACCCCTCTGGCAAGACAGTGATGGAGTTAATAATGATGAAAGTTTTTCATTTTTGGGCCACCCTGCCTTGGTGGGAATTGGCCGATGTGTTAATAAAAATAATAATAATAATAATAATAATAATAATATATTATTATTATTATTATTAATTTAGGTAACTGGAACACAGATCCAATTCCCTAGATCAAAAGCCCCTCACGTGTCAAGGAACCTTGATGCTGGTGAGGGGCTCTTGATCTAGGGAATTGGATCTGTGCTCTAGTTATCTAAATTAATAATAATTATTATTATTATTATAATAACAAATGCCACCAACTCAGTGCACTGTTTACTTCTCTGTGGGAGCAGTTCTTTCATGCTCTGCTTACATTTTTGACAGTCATTTGGCCAAATTTCATTTTTCTAAGCATGGGTCCTATAAACAAGTGAGGTGTCCAGGTTTTGCTTTGATGGGGAAGCAGGGGGAGCTGGCTCATAACTCAAATGTTGGCTTGTAACTCAGAGCAAAAAATCGACCCAGGGACGGCTCATTGATAACCAGCAAGTATGCCGAGCCAATCATCACAAAACAAATAATTAACTATTAAAGGTAAGGGGCGTGGTTAGGAAAGAAATGAGAAAACATGAAACTTGGCAATGGCGTCTGAGAACTTTACATATCAATTTATCTAACAGATTATTTAGAATTATTTCTTAAAACTTACCTGAAGTACAGAAAGTATTCCAGTAACCATGACAAGCAAATTTGGCTCCTTAGTATAGGCAGAGAGAGACCCAGCAACTGTCGAGAAAACAGCATATGCAAAGAGGCCAAATGCAGACACCATAAGAAGAATGTCATCCAATTCTTCTTCTCGTTCTCCATGGAATTTGAGTTGACGAACCCTGAGAGGAAGGATGACTATCAGTGAAATGCAAACTATCATAATGTAGCAAAGTTCATGTCATAAGTGTGGTAATTTTGAGATGCTCAGTCCTTGTAGTATCAAGTGTTGCAGGTGTCTTACTCAAACCTGTCAGCATTATATACCATAAATATGATTCGAGGTAGTAGGTTGGTAGACAGCAACCGCCCAGGGAGGTACTACCGTCCTGCCAAGTGACTATAAAACGAAACCCTGTAATTGTTTTACATGATGGTAGGATTGCTGATGTCTTTTTTTCTGTCTCATAAACATGGAAGATTTCAGGTATGTCTTGCTACTTCTACTTACATTGTGGTCACACTACACATGCATGTACAAGCATATATATACACACCCCTTTGGGTTTTCTTATATTTTCTTACTAGTTCTTGTTCTTGTTTAGTTCCACTTATCCCCACACCTCTTGCCAATACTGAGCATTCACTTCTCTTATAACTCCATCTATAAATATATTGATCAACCATGGTAACATCACACATCCTTGTCTAAGGCCTACTTTTACTGGGAAGTAATCTCCCTCTCACCTACACTCTAACCTGAGCCTCACTATCCTCGTAAAAACTCTTCACTGATTTCAATAACCTACCTCTTATTCCATACATTTGCCACATCTACCACATTGCCCCCCTATCCACCTCATCATATGTCTTTTCCAAATCCATAAATGCCACAAAAACCTCTTTACCCTTATCTAAATACTGTTCACCTAAATGTTTCACTGCAAACACTTGGTCTACACCCCCTACCCTTCCTAAAGCCTCCCTGTTCATCTGCTATCCTGCTCTCCATCTTACTCTTAATTCTTTCAATAATAACTCTACCATACAGTTTAATTTTGTCCCCTTTGCCTTTATACAGAGGAACTATGCATGCTCTCTGCCAATCCCTAGGTACCTTACCCTCTTCCATACATTTATTAAATAAAAACACTAACCACTCCAAAACTATATCTCTACCAGCTTTTAACATTTCTCTACCAGCTTTTAACATTTCTATCTTTATCCCATCAATCCCAGCTGCTTTACTCCCTTTCATTCTACCCACTGCCCCATGCACTTTCCCCCAACTCACAACTGGCTCTTCCTCACTACTGTAAGATGTTATTCCTCCTTGTCCTATACATGAAATCACAGCTTCCCTATCTTCATCAACATTAACAATTCCTCAAAATATTCCCTCCATCTTCCTGATAGCTCTAACTCTCCTCTCCTATTTTTAACTAACAAATTTATTCATTCCCTAGGCTTTCTCAACTTATTAATCTAATTCCAAAAATTTTTCTTATTTTCAACAAAATTTGTTGGTAACATCTCACCCACTCTCATTTGCTCTCTTTTTACACTGCTTCACCACTCTCCTAACTTTTCTTTTTCTCTCCATATACTCCTCCCTCCTTGCATCACTTTTACTTTGTAAAAACCTCCCATATGCTAACTTTTTCTCTCTTACTACTCTCTTTACATCATCATTCCACCAATCGCTCTTCTTCCCTCCCGCACCCACTTTCCTGTAACCACAAGTGGGTGCGGAGGGAAGAAGAGCGATTGGTGGAATGATGATGTAAAGAGAGTAATAAGAGAGAAAAAGTTAGCATACGAGAGGTTTTTACAAAGTAGAAGTGTAGATTTATATATGACATATATTAAAAAAAGCAAGGATTTTTTGATAAAAAAAAGTTAGAGTCAACTTATACATGAAGTCAGGTTATATTCGAGTATATATTTAAGAATTAGAATTTGAGGCATCTGTGGAAACAAAGAACATCATCCATGGAGGCAAAAAGGGGAATGTGTGAGAGTATAGTGTTACCCACTCTCCTATGGGTGTGAAGTATGGGTTGTGCATGTTGCAACAAGGAGGCTGGAGGCAATGGAGATGTGTTTGAGAGAAATGTGTGGTGTAAATATTATGCAGAGAATTCATAGCCTGGAGATTAAGAGGAGGTGTGGGGTTACCAAAAGTATTACCCAGAAGGGTTGCTGATGTGGTTTGAACATTTAGAGAGGATGGTGCAAAACAAGATGACTTGGAGGATGTATAAATCTGTAATGGAGGGTAAATGGGGTAGGGGTCACTCTAGGAAAGGTTAGAGGGAGGGGGTAAAGGAGGTTTTATGTGTGAGGGGCTTGGATGTCTAGGCATGTGTGTGTGTGTTAGATAAGAATGGAGGCAAATGGCATTTGGGACTTGACGAACTGTTGGAGTGTGAACAAGGTAACATTTTGTAAAGGGATTCAGGAAAACTGGTTAATGGGACTTAAGTTCTGGAGATGGAAAGTACAGTGCCTGCACTTTGAAGGAGAATTGGGGATACATTTGCAGTTTGGAGGAGCATGTGCCTCTGGCAAGACTGATAGAGTGAATGATGGTAAAAGTGTTTCTTCTTTTTGGGTCATCCTACTTGGTGGGAGACAGCTAGTGTGTTAAAACTATCCAGATGCCAAAACTCCCCAGATGCTAATACATGTACTTTTTTTGCAGTTAACCCTTAAACTGTCTATACGTAGATCTACGATCACGTGCGGCAGGCTCTGAACGTAGATCTATGTTTTATTTTTCATTCCTTCAAATTTGGTGCAATTGGTCTGATTCGCCTAGACATGAAAGAATGGCTCTGTGCACTCGGGGACCACTTGGTACCTTGTAGGAGCACTAGTTCAATTGAGGGCCAGCTAGAGCAAATAGTGTGGCAAACACCAGTGATTCACTGATGTCATGTCATACTAACACTCACATTTTAAGAGGAAAGTAAAAACAGGTTAGATAAATGCATGAGTGGGTGTGGATGGGTGTGAGTTAGACCTGACTAGCTTGTGCTACTGGGTCAGATGTTATGCTCCTTCTTTCAGTGGATGTGACCTGACTAGGTGGGTCATTGGCCTAAGCTGGGGGGTGACATGGACCTGCCTTGCATGGGCCAGTAGGCCTGCTGCAGTGTTCCTTCTTTCTTATGTTCTTATGTATTCGGGTGGCTGGTTGGCTGGCTTTGGCTGTCTCTGTCTGTATCTGTCTATATCTCTGTCTCTCACATGTACTCATAAATACAGTTATCATACATAATGTAAATTACCTAGGATAACCCAAAAATTCCAGGCCAAGTGCTATACAGTGTTTGTAGATGTAAGACATAAATAAACATGACGCAAATAATAGTAGTGTCACTTGCTCAGCAATCAGGGAGCGGCCCATGCACCACAAACCAACAAGTTTACTAGCTGCTCCCTGAGACAGAGACAAGAAGATGGAAAGACACACACACACAGGCAGACAGAAAGACAGATAAGCAGAACTTGACAGACAGGTAAGCAGAGCTAGACAGACAGATGTACAGATGAGCAGAGCTAGATGGGCAGATGTACAGATAAGCAGAGCTAGACAGATAGATGTACAAATAGACAGACATACAAACATGTTTGTGTGCATGAGTAAAAACATAAAAAGGCAAGGTTCCCCCCTCCAGCAGCGCACATTCAACAAATGTCACTTGTTATCTGATGCTTGTCATAAAACCATTTTTCAAGGAGTTCATATTACACTCCAGGCACACACAGAAGACAGAAAGACAGATAAGCTGAACTGGACAGACAGATAAGCAGAGCTAGGCAGACAGACAGATAGATGTACAGATAGACAGACTGATAGACATACAAAGACATGTTTGTGTGCAAGAGTAAAAACATATAAAGGCAAGGTTCCCTCCAGCAGGGCACATTCTGACCCTTGTCATAACACCATGCTTCAAGAAGTTTCATACTCCAGCGTGTCTAAAACATTGTTGAGACTTATAAATACTTTGTATATATTTCTAGACAATAGTAAATGACCAGGGCAGGTGAAAATGTTCACCTGTCAGTGTGATTGTTACAATTTGAGTATTATTTCAGTACATAATATTAGTGTCAGAACAAAGATTAGCTATGAAATCACAAAACTATTATAAACTGTAATTATCAGAGCATAAAAATTATATAAATTAATCGAAAAACGATAAAACAAGGTAAATCGACAACACTTCTGCAAGCGGCAGGACTGGCTGTTGCCATCAGGTGAGCATCCAGAGACAACTTTGTGCTCTTATATCTTGGTAAGTACTGGTCCTAAAAAAATTTTTTTTGGTCCTTATACTGCACAGAAAATTGCCCTCTTTAATTTAACAACAAAAAAAATTTTTTTTATTTTTCAAAATATTTGGAGCACCACACAGGTGAATGTAGTTCTACGTTTGGACAGTTTAAGGGTTAATGGTTAATTTTAACTGGATTATATTGACCAGTGATCATGAAGGCAAGATAGTTTAACAAAAATTTACATACACACTGAAAAACATGATTTTAAAAATTATTTATTTGACTTTTTTCAGCATCTCATGATTTTAAACCCCTCTGAGATGGAAGTACTGGCCTAAGCTCCTAAACAGAAATCCTGGCTGTGCCACTAGAGCTATCCCCTCTCCCTCATATATACAGAAGCTCCACATTTACTCCAATTTCTCAGCCCAACAGGGTTTTGAAAACATAAAATGATCAAAAACCCAGCACAAATCAGCCCCAATAACCTTAAAAGACACAAAGAAAAACAGCTCATCTTTACAGCTCTGACCACAAGAAATGCTACTTTTTTTTTTACTGCCAGATATAAGATATTACTGCTCTCCAATTCAAGCCTTCCATTCTGCTTGAAATGGTCTGCATAACCAGAGGACTTTCCAAAACATATGAAATAAATGTTGCACAACAGTGTAACACTGTACAGTGGACCCCCGCATAGTGACTTTAATCCGTGCAAGAGGGCTGATTGTTATGCGAAACGTTCGGTATGCGAATGAATTTTCCCCATAAGAAATAATGGAAATCAAATTAATCCGTGCAAGACACCCAAAAGTATGAAAAAAAAATTTTACCACATGAAATATACATTTTCCTACACACAAAGAGAAGGATACATGCACAATAGTAGAGTAGTAACATGCACAATATATATTGTGCATGTACTACTCTGCTAAATGAAGAATAAATGACACTTACCTTTATTGAAGATGCAGCAATGACTGATGAGACACTGTGTCCTGGGAGTGCCTTTTCCTCCTGAGTACTGTAGGTCCTGTTTAGCATTTTCTTCCAGAACAGGCCTTATCACACTGTGTATGCCACTACGATTCTTAAATCTCTCAAACCAACCTTTGCTGGCTTTAAATTCACCAATATGAGCACTAGTTCCAGGCATTTTTCCCTGTTCACCTGGGTGTTAGTCGACTGGTGTGGGTTGCATCCTGGGAGACAAGATTAAGGACCCCAATGGAAATAAGTTAGACAGTCTTCGATGACACTGACTTTTTTGGGTTATCCTGGGTGGTAAATCCTCTGGGGTTAATTGTTTCTTGGTATTCTCAATAAGCCACACCAACAACGGTGCTACAGCAGCAGCAGCAGCTGACGGTGGTACAACAGCAGCAGACGAAGCTACAGCAGCAACAGACGATGCTACAGCAGCAACAGACGATGCTACAGCAGCAGCAGACGATGCTACAGCAGCAGCAGACGATGCTACAGCAGCAACAGACGATGCTACAGCAGCAGCAGACGATGCTACAGCAGCAGCAGACGATGCTACAGCAGCAGCAGACGATGCTACAGCAGCAGCAGACATGCTACAGCAGCAGCAGACGATGCTACGCAGCAGCAACGATGCTACAGCAGCAGCAGATGATGCTACAGCAGCAGCAGACGATGCTACAGCAGCAGCAGACGATGCTACACAAGCAGCAGCAAGCAGCAAGACGGTACTACAGCAGCAGCAGCAGCTGACGGTGGTAAACAGCAGCAGCAGCTGACAGTGCAGCAGCAGCTGACAGTGGTCAGCAGCTGTACACCAATAGTAGCGATGGTTGATTGGGGTTTATTATACAACCTGGCCAGCTCGGAGACACGCACTCCACTTTCATACTTATCAATGATCTTTTTCTTCATCTCTATAGTAATTCTCACCCTTATTGCTGTAGGGTTGGCACTAGAAGCTTTCTTGGGGCCCATGGTCACTTATTTTCCAGAAAAAATCACCAAAAACACTGTAATAATACGAAATGTTCCTATTGTATACTTGGATGTTACCGCGGAGGCTGGCTGGTAAACAATGCCACCGGCGGAACATGTGAGCGTGGCTCAGGCCGCACATTGGACGCGTCTCGGACGAAGAGCGGTGAGCGGGTTTTTGGGCGGTATGCGAGAGCAAAATTTTGGCGAAAAAAGCGAGTGGTATGCGGATTGTACGGTATGCGATGCGTGCGGTATGCGGGGGTCCACTGTATATCTTTCGTAAATATTTTTGTTTTGCTTTATATATAGAAGAATATACTGTACATGCATATACACATACTTTTTATAGAACATACAAGCAGTTATACAAGCATACATACATACCTTCAATATAATTAATACCTGTTTCTTCTTCACATTTCTGTGTGTCTATTTTTCTATTTTGAGAACTGACCTGACAAAACCAATGAACATGGCAATTATACTGAAGAACATGATCCCACAGTGAGAGCAGTCAGCCAGGTATATAGCCAGCATTTTGAGCTCTTCTCGGTTGACTAGCACGAAGAAAAGGATGAGACAGATCAATGAAGCTACCAGGACAAGAAGTCCGCAGAAGAGCCCCTTGCTGGCACCCACACAGTCCACACGGGAATGGCAGCGTCTAGACACTACTGACATGCCGTCTCCTGGCACTTCTGGGTCATACACAAACCTGTTGAAAAAATCTCTTTTGTTCAAAGAACAGTACACTAACTTATTACAATAAAATATCCATTTGACACATTAAATGTAATAATCCACTAAATAAAAATATTATTTCAGTGCAAAATCTGAGTTGTATATCAAAGCAATTTTGAAATTCCTGCATATTCAAATGATCTTTCAACAAATGATACTTCACCTTTCTTGTTGGTATGACTCTTTCAGTGGTAAATCCTTCCTGTTACATTAAAAAAAAAAGCGTATATTGTTTAAATTTTAGCCAAATTATTTATCCTAAAATTAAAAAAATATTCAATTAGTGACAACTTACTTTACAAATTTTAATAACGTTCACATTATGAACATTCAAGACACTGAGTTGTTAAAATGAAAACAATTACCTAGGATTCCGACCAATATGCTTCCACATTATATAGAGCACTGCAGCACCGATGAGAGAGTACTCGACAATGAAGGGGTACAGGTATGGAGCCGAGTCTGATACAATGGAACCCATTATCTCCACTCGTTCACAAGTACGGTTGACAATGTCCTCTTCATTTGCCCAGCCACTTGCTGCAGAATCATCAAATTTAACAACTTTCATTTGCTGAGAAGTGCTATGTATTCACAATATTACTTCAGTAAAGGGAAAACAAACTATAAATAAAAATGCAAGTAAGAAAGGATGATAGCACTGCAAGATTCACAAAGCATACAGTATCAAAGAACCTCTAAACTGTTGCAGAGAAAGACATGCACAATAGCTAATTAAAGCACTCAGAGTAATACCCATTAAATACCATCTGTACATAATCTAAAACATTCAGGCCATTGTTGTTATTTTTTAGGACCTCTCATGCAAAATCCTCATGATGCATAAGTATGCACACCAAGGGAAAAATACAGCTGTTGAAATGCTGCACTGTAAAAGTTAATTAGTACTACATTTCCACTGATACATGTATATGGTACTTCATTAAAAATATAAAAATAAACACTGATAACATTCCTGTACTATGATAACAGGCCAAAATTGATACATAAAGCACTAGTGTTTGGGCCAAAAAAATAATCCTGAGAGTTTAGTTTCCCAGGCTCAAGCTCACAAGAGTGCACTTTAGTCCCGAGGGACATACCCTGCTGCATGGTTTCATTGATTTCCTGCATTTCAACGAAATCGTCCAGATTATAGAGGTACTTGTTGGGGGCCATGAGGCCACGATTTTCCAGTGCACGCCGAATACCCTCTGTCAGTGAGAAGAGAGAGTGAGTCAGACAAGTCTACACCAGAAGGGTGGTTAGTCTAAAGAGAGCTAGCTTACTAGCAAGCTTTCTACTTTAATGAACATTAGAAGCAGAAGTAAAAATTTAGTAATGAAGGAAAAGCTCACTGCCTTCACTAAATTTTTTACTGGCATAAAGTGATATGGTAGTAAGTGTCATCTTCAAAACTCTTTAGATATTGTCATTATTTAAGTTTTAGAGAAGGAAATTCTTAACAGACTGGCAAGAAAGTTTGACTACAACTACACTGAGTCTTGAAAAGTAATATTCATCTGTGGGTTAGAAGTGCAAAAATATCTTAATATGAAATGTATGAAGTAACTAACATAGCAAGCCATGAGTACGCAACAAGAACAAGTGCAATAAACAGTACCTACTGAGTTGAGTTGGCAACAGAGTAAGCCTGATAGAAAGATATTTGTTGACAGCTTTTACAGAAGAATATATACATTAGAGTACTTTACCTTATATAAATACAATATATTTATCATTAATCTGCAGCCACAAAGAATAATTTATTATTTATTATATTCATGGGATGATAAATTTATAAGGATCATATTAGCACCCAGATAATATAAACTAATCAAGCTTGATCCAAGGGAGAAGAGGTTAGCTCCAATTCCTTGGATCAAGAGCCCTTTGCCAGCATCAAGGCACCTCCCATGAAGAGTTCACAATGAATTAAATATATACTGCTTAGGCATAAAATATCACTCACCAAGGATCATGTAGTCTTCTCCCTTGTGTCCCTGTGCTACCCTGAATTCGTTGATTTCCTTCAGACTCTCCCGTACTAGGGTTCGCACCCACACACACAGGTTTGTGGCCACAATGTGCATCAAGCCAAACCGGGCAAGGAATTTGAACTTGTGGATATTTAGCTATGGAAATACAATATTTATATTAAAAAAGCTTTTACTCTATATCTTTCAAAATATGTAACAATTGTGTTAAACATTGTCATACTACAGTAGTATTAGACCTGTACAAATGAGGAAATTAATTTTGCTTGGTTTCCCCAGACAGGCTTTCCGTGCTTAATATGGGTTTACCTTGTGACTCTGCTAGTCCTGATGTTCCATTTCTGTCAGTAACTGTGTGTGCATTAGGACCTACACATTTGCCATATGCAATCAGTGCAGTGTGTAAGGCTTAATGAAGTTTCTTATGCTAAGTTAATTGTTGATGGTTTTACTAAGCTTGATACAGCTGTCATGATCCTGGAACGCTTCAACTGCATAAAGTCAGTAACATTTATATATTTATTATGTACTGAACATATGTATGAATAATAAAAGCATGGTACTGTACAACATGGAATATACTTATACTGTAGTCATAGTACAACTTGATAAGTTTTTTATACTTTTCTCTATCTCCAAAGCATGGAATCAGTAACTTTCATTTTTTGTTTTCTTGTTGCAAATAATTACACTATTAGCTTCTGCCATTTCATGACTGCTGTTGCTGAGGTAACATTAATCATTTTCACAATTCTTATTTTTGAGGTAAAAGCTTTCAAATTGCTGCATATACTGTACTTTCAAAGGCCTAAGATTCAAAGAAGAAACAATATATAAAATACTAAGGTTTTCCTCCTCTGAGGAAGGGTAATCAAAATAAAATAATGATATAAGAGCTAGTGGCTTATATGAGGCAGTTCCTATATTTAAACAGCTAATGCAACCACTCATGATTTCGTCCAAGCTATACATGAAATTTTCTAGTTTACTGGTGTCAGTGTTAATGTAAGGTATGCTATGCCACACACTGGTGACTATCTTCAAACTTGTGCAAACTCCCAGAAAAACAAAGCATCTGAGATCATGAGATACATGTTAATTACTCAATGCAATATTTCCAAATAAATCCCTTTATCTAGTGCCAAATTTGCTGATAAGTGGATTAAGTGGCCACTTTGGGCTCCTCAGAAGTCAGGGCCCTAAGCTAGCAGCAAACTAGTGGCAGTCATGTAATCAGTCGTACATCTGGCTTTGAAGTTAAATTTTTTTTTTTCCCAATAGTGCAATAGCTAATACAGTAGGGCCCCTGGACCTCTAAATCTGCCACTGCCTTTACCTATTTGAACATATATTCAATTAAATCATGACTTTAAACAAACACGGCTTCCTTTAAGAAGTTCAGCAATAAAACAATTTCCTAGTGGACACCTGTAAATGTTATGGTGATAATTCTATATTATATGTGTGCTTTCTTTTTAACACATCAGTGGTTGCCCTGAAATGCCCTGACATGATAGTGGCTTTCTTTGTACTTAGAAAATCAAAATTGTAATTACACATTGTAACCTTTACAAAGAAATAAACCTTTATCTTTAAGGTAGCGGTGACCCAGTGAAGTGAACATTATCTAATTATTATCATTATTATTATTAAAATGGAAATACTGTATATAACAATCACATAAAACATTGCATTTGAGATAAGGGAGGAGAATGTAACTCCAATTCATAGGATCAAGAGCCCTTTACTGGCATCAAGGCACCCCCTTCTTAAAGGAAGAGTATTTACTAGTATAATCCAGTAGCAAACATAGTGACATTAAACTTACCCTGGCATTCATAAAGATGAAATACATCTGCATGAATGTGAAAACCAGTTGTAGCAGAGGGTTGACACCACGTAGGATCTGGTAACATGGGGATGTGATGGGGATCTCAAAAAATACACCAAACTCTAATCCATTGTAGATCATTGTACCCAGTCCAAATGCTGCAAGAATGAAGTAATTTTATGTAATTTTATAGTCATTTAAAAAAATATAAATTAGAATTTTTCAGATATAGTACAGCTCTCTTATTAACGAATTTTGGCAATTTCAGACAAAAAAAAAAAAAATGACCAGACAAATATTGGAAGCTTCGTACAAAATGGAAACAGTCTGTAATTCCAGATTTTGTCATTAGTGATAATGTTTGGCTGTCATTTGAAGCTGTACTGATACTCAATAGATTTTAGTAGTAAGCCAAATTCAAATTTTTATTTCTCTTTGTGGTACAAAAATAATGCAGTTTATATGAAATAAAACATTGGTGGGCACCAAAGAAAGCTACTGGTATGCAAAGCATTTTTATTGTGATTAGTTTGCCTGAAATGCATTGCATAATTAGTAGGTTTCCTTGGAACTTTCAACAGCATAATAAGATAAAAATAAAAAAAATATACAACTAACTGGAATGTACAACTTCTGTAACTTCATTGTATGACTCATAATAAAAAAAAATAATTTTAATTTAGTCTGGGGGAGAGGAAAGGTAGTAGTCTGGGGGAGAGGAAAGCTAGTAATTAATCTGGGGTGAGGGAAGCTAGAAATCTGTCTGGGGGAGAGGAAAGCTAGTAATTTGTCTGAGGGGAGAGAAAAGCTAGTAATTAGTCTGGGAGGAGAGAAAAGCTAGTAATTAGCCTGGGAGGGAGAGGAAAGCTAGTAACTAGTCTTGGGGAGGAAAGCTAGTAATTAGTCTGGGAGAGAGGATAGCTAGTAATTAGCCTGGGGGGGAGAGGGAAAACAGTATTCTATAAAGGGGGGTAGAAGCCAGTATTCTGGAGAGGGGGGAAGCTAGTAATTAGTCTGGGAAGGTAGGTAAGCCACCAGTAATTAGTCTGGGGAGGTAGGTAAGCCAGTAATTAGTCTGGGGAGGTAGGTAAGCCAGTAATTAGTCTGGGGAGGTAGGTAAGTCAACAATTAGTCTGGGGAGGCAAGTAAGCCAGTAATTAGTCTGGGAAGGGCAGTGAGTCCTTACAGTTTTTAAATGTCAAAATTTTAATAATTGTATGGGTATAAGCAAATGAGGCACTCTACAAACAATTAATTACTAGTGAACATACTAAGGAAAAGGGGGCAGAGGATGAAACTTTTAACTCTTTGACTATTTCGGCTGTATATATACATCCTATGAACCAGTGTTTCTGACGTATTACTAACCCTAAATTCTAGGGGCTTCAAATCATGCAGGAGAAAGCAGGTAGGCCTACATGTAAGAGAATGCGTCTGTGTGGTCAGTGTGCACAGAAAAAAATCCTGCAGCACGCAGTGCATAATGAGAAAAAAAAACTCCGACTGTGTTATTGAGGTGTATTTTCGTATAGTATTTAAGGTTGTATTCTCATTTTCTTGGTCTCATATGATAGAATGGAAGACATATTACAGAAATAGAGATGCTTCTGATTAGTTTCACAATGAAAAGGACCTTGAAATTGAGCTCAAATTAGCGGAAATGTTCAATTTTTGCTGATGTTCAAGAGTAAACAAATCACACCACGCGTCCAATACACGTCAACTGGTGAGTCTATTATTCTTTCACATGTGCACTGATATTATTTATACTGTTTTTACAATAATGCAGTAGTCTGCATAACAATAAATCTTCTATTTTTTGTGTGAATAAAAATTCAAAATAGAAAGCAAGAGTAATATAAGAGGGGCCTGGAGATATGACTAATGAACAAAGAAAATGTTATTTTAGTGTTATCTTTTAATTTGTGTGAAATTGGCCAAACTGCCAATTTCTGACCACTTTATTGGGTAATTAAAATCGGTAAATGGACGGTTTCTTGTACTCAATTGTTAGAACAAATGGAGTTCTAGAGAAACTGCTATAAGTTTGGTCAACTGGAACAATAAAATTGGCCAAAAATAGGGCTCAAAGTGGGTGAAATCGCCGATGAGTATGTATCGCTGAGATTGCTAACTTCGCGAGATCATAATTCCATAAGTTTTCCATCAAATTTCTTACTTTTGGTGTCATTACCATCGGAAAAAGATTCTCTATCATTTCACAATAAATTTTTTTTTTTTTTCAAATATTTTGGGAGACACTTTCAGAATTGGGGTTGCGACAGTCAAAGGGTTATATACAAATAATAGAATATGTACTACAATATTCAGATTTTTTTTTTTTAACACATCGGCCATCTCCCACCAAGGCAGGGTGGCCCAAAAAAGAAAAACTTTCGTCATCATTCACTCCATCACTGTCTTGCCAGAGGCACGCTTACACTACAGTTATAAAACTGCGACATTAACACCCTTCCTTCACTGTACTTCCCATTTCCAGGACTCAAGTCCAGACTGCCAGTTTCCCTGAATCCCTTCATAAACATTACCTTGCTCACACTCCAACAGCATGTCAAGTCCTAAAAATCATTTGTCTCCATTTGCTCTTATCTAACATGCTCACGCATGCTTGCTGAAAGTCCAAGCCCCTTGCACACAAAACCTCCTTTACCCCCTCCCTCCAACCTTTCCTAGGCAGACCCCTACCCTGCCCTGAGGGAAGACAGGGTAGATCTCTTCATATGTGATTTATATTTACAATACTGTACATCAATTACAAATATAAACCAAATTATATAATGATATTACATATAAATAACAGTAAAAACTTACCAATAGCACCGATCCTGAGGAAAAATGATCCATGACTGTGTTCGTTGTCAGAGGTCTTATGCTTGCGTGGCTTGCTGCAGGAAGATGATGTCAGCTTCTCCTGAGTGGGCGAACCATCGGGAATGCCTTCTGGTTGCCGCACCTTCTGTAGCACCCCCTGGGGAGGGTTGGAATCACACTGGGGGGTTGCCAAGTGATCAACACTTTCCATACAGTATTGCCCAAATGTCATATCTACTCATTGGTTATACAATAACTCAATCATTCCTCCCTCTCTTCAATCCATGCAGATTAGAAAAATTCTAAGAATGTATTTATAAACTGGCTATAAATATTCTTGAGAACCCTACTCTTACAACCTACAACCTGGTGACTCCCTTTATTATATAATCCTCTACTGCTGTATACAGCCTACAAGCTGGCAAAGCAATCTCACTTTGGATCATCAGGCACTTCCAAAAAACCTACAATTTCAAGAAAATTTCAGACAATGTTTCAGCCCATCCTAGACCCTTGATAATCATACCTGAAGAAGTTTTGGGGGGTCAATGCTCCCATAACCCAGTCCCAGACCAGGCCTCCAAGTGGACCAAAGCTTTCTGAACCAGGCTGTTACTGCTGGCCCCACACAATCAGACATATGAACCACAACCAAGCCGGTCATAAATTGACTCTAGGAAATTGTAAAGTGCCCTTCTGATGACAGCCAGTAGTTTGTTGGTAATTCCTGTTGTACTGTACATGAAAGGAAAGCACTGAAATAGCTGGGGATCTCTGCCACCTACTAAGCTTTTCCTTAGTGTACTCACTGTGCCCCTGCTCTTTACTGGAGTACAGTACTTTGCCCCATATGTAAAATCTTTTACCTTCATATGGAGTGATTTCAGTGTGCAGGTTTGGTATCCATTCCTCCAAGATTTCCCCTATGTAAATTATGATGTACCTTTCTTGCTTATATTCCAAGGACTGCAGTTCAATGGACTTCAAATGTTCCTAGTAGTTCAGATGCTTGATTGAATGTATTCAGACCAAAATACTGTCTAAATTTTCCTCTCCTAATTGTGGGTTGTTTTGGTCATATTGTGATTTTCATTTTTCAACTTTAAGAACCTTGTACAGTAGTTAGTTCTCTTTAGAGTTTATTAACTATGCTACCAACAATTTTCTTACATTTGTTGGCACTAGGGTGAAAAGACATAGTTTCAACATGTTAATACATCGTTTTAAATGTGCTGTCCTTGTATGCAAATTGGGGACCTGTTGCAGTGGAAGTATGACCGTGAGCTGACAAATTAAAAAAAAAAAAAAAAAGACGCATATAGTAAAGCAAAATCTTTTATTATTATGATGTTTCACCTACAAGAGATTTTATCAAGTACAAGAAAAACAAAAAGGTGATATACAGTAGTTGTGAGAGGTAGTCACATCATGTGCTGGGCAAAGGTGAGGCCAGGTGAAGGTGAGATATACTATGCGAGGGGAAGGTGAGGCATCTGGACACAGGGGTCAAGTAACAGGGTGACATATGGGTCGAGGGATCAGGTCTTAATAATGCAACCTTACCTTCATCTAGAACCTAATGTGACTATCAGCACTACATATATAGTATACTGTTATTTCATATTTTTCCTATGTACTTGATAAAGTCTCTTGAAAGTGAATTGTCGTAATAACAAAAAGTCTCATTGTGCTGTACATGTCATTTTTAACTACCTATTTTAAGCCTAAGCTTTTTTTTTGTTAGCTATGTGAAACTCGCTTGATTATGTAAAACTTTAATTATTTTCTCCATGAATTTTTGGAATTACTTTGACTAAACGTTTCTTTTAAAATAAATTCAGAGTAAATCTTAAAACATATTCTGCAAATATAATGTATTACACATTTTAATTTTAAATACACACATAACTTCTTAACCAGAATAGTAGCCAGAGGTCACCTAATGTTGCCAGCTTAAATATGTGCAGCACTTAATTTATACTTTACAAAGTAATGTATAATAGATACTATTCAACATGCCAATTAGTTCTCTTACTTTAAAATTCTCATTTAAAATTGGAATTATTATTATAATCAAAAAGAAGCGCTAAGCCACAAGGGCTATACAGCTTAAAATTGGAAGAAAGTAAAATGTTTATTACCTCAAAGTTTATCCATTTCACCACCTTATTACTATACGTATTTTTAAAACTTTTACATTTTTTACCATACAGTACAATACTGGCTATTGGAATAAAGATTCTACACTAAAAACTTATTTACTCTGCAAATAGAGTGCAGCAGTATTTTGTAAGGAAAATACTTGAATTTTACTATTTTAGTATGACCACTTAATTTATTATTTCATTTAAAAGAGGAATAGTAGTCACTACTCAACAATGTAATAACATACTTGAAGTTGGGATTTTGCTAACTCATTTTGCCTGATCCTCAAGTTGATTAGTCTAGGTAATATACAATGTTTGTACCCACTACCTATTCTTCTTAAGTTGCCCTTATGTCAAGGCAGTTAATTTAACAGATACATGTACATGTTTTCTCTATTGGTTCATTTACATAAGCACTTAACTATTGTCTAATATTATTCCCTGATTAAAATATAATATATACATATTTGGAAATAAACTTTGGCATAAACTTAAAGAAAAGAAAATAACATATACAATATAATGTCACAGTTGCAGTTTGCCAATGACACAGTGCTGCTGGAAGATTTAGAAGAGAAGCTGTAGAAGTTGGGAAAAGACTGCAAAAAAAGAAGTCGAAGGTGAACACAGATAAAAGGAGGTTAGATTGGAAAGAAGTCTGAAGGAAGTGAATACTGTACTGTACTTAAATATTCGGGAATAGATGCACTAGATGGGTCTATGAAGGATTATGTAACTCACAAAATGCATGAGAAAAACATACTATAACTGCAGTAGTGTTGAGTAATTTAGGTAAGGAACAATATTTATTAATAGGTGTTGCAAAAATGGGGAATACATCATTTGTGGCAATTCATTTGTATGTGTGTGAAGCACAGCTTCTAAATGTTACAGTGATGAGGTTGGGGGAAAGTGTAGCTAATGATCTAAAGAAACAGACTTGTCCTCCCCTTCCATGGATCAAACATGGTTGCCTCCCATTCCCAGGCTCTGTGCGCTTGACCTCTATAGTAGGCATCATAAATATGCATGTGAATAAACAGATCACACAGAAAAAGACTGATCACCACAATCTCTTGTTTTAAATAGTATATAATACTGAAATATGCATGTGTTCCTCACCCAAACTAATACTTTATAGGATTACCCTTCCTCTTGATGCATGCCTAAGGTACCCTAGGCACTGATAATGCTAACTTATGAAGGGCAGGAAAGTCAATACCTTTCCACACCTGCTTAATAGCACTTGAGATACTGGAGTTTAATAAGTTTCCAAACATTCTGTATTGGATTAAAGTCCAGTGAGTTTCCAGGCCAATTCTTTATATCTTGGGCAGTATGGCAAGGATGCACCATCTTCCATACTAAAGTTGCCTTGGCATTTCTTGAATCTGTTAGGCAAATACAGTGGAAGTCCGGTTTTTGTACTTAATCCATTCCAGAAGGTCGGTCTAAAACCGAAACGTATGAAAACCGAATTAATATTTCCCATAAGAAATAACGTAAATATAATTAATCCGTTCCAGACACCCAAAATATTAACAAAAAATACATTTTTTAAAGAATAACTATAGTTTTACATACAGAAAACAATGAGAAATCAATACAAATGACTAATTTTAATGATAAATGAACATTACATAATTTTATTGAAGACTCTTGTTGGCGTACTGAAGAAGGCAAGGAGGGGAGAGGGAGTTGAGGTTGTTTGTAAGGGGAACCCCCCTCCATAAGGACTTCAGATATCAAAGCCCTCTTTGGGGTTACTTCCCTTCTTTGTTTTTTACAGGCACTGGACCCCTGTTGCACTAAAAAATCTGTCCAGAGTCTGTTTCTGGCATCTCTTTAAGATCTGCCTAGGATGGGACAAGGTATTGTCACTGAACATGTTGCAGATAAAGCTTGTATCAGCTTTGTCAGGGTGATATTTTTCAACAAAAGTTTGCAACTCATTCCACTCTGCACACATGTCCTTAATCACTGAAGAAGGCACCTTCTCCCCTCTCTCTTCCTCCTCCTCTGAAGCAATTTCCTCAGCTGTGGTCTGTTGTTGTTCCAGACGAAGGTCTTGCAGCTCTTCAGTGGTTAGATCTACCTTGTGGTCCTCCACCAACTCTTCCATATCCTGGCCACTCACATCCAACCCCATGGACTTTCCCAAAGACACAATATATTTCACAACAGGCATAGGGTCAACAGGGTCAGCCTCAAACCCTTCAAAATTCTTCTCTTGGACACATTCTGGCCACAATTTTCTCCAAGCAGAGTTTAAAGTCCTGGAAGTCACTTCTTGCCAAGCCTTACCTATAAGGTTTATGCAATGGAGGATATTGAAGTGATCCCTCCAGAACTCTCTTCAATTGTTTGTGATCTCTGTTTCATTAGCACATTTACCTTTTGCAACTTTAGCTTTCTTGATTTCTACTTTCTTTGCCAGGATGGAACAGATTGTTGATTTGGACTTCCCATACATCCTGGCAAGCTCAGCAAAACATATGCCACTTTTGTATTTTTCCACAATGTCTTTCTTGAATTCTATTGTGTTTCTGTAAAGTAAAAGGACACAAGTGCAACTAATGTGACATTTTATTGTGGCAACGTTTCACTCTCCAGGAGCTTTGTCAAGCTGTTACAAACAGTACATGGACACAGAGAGTATATATAGGCTTAGAGTGAGGTGCAATACCAGTGGTAGTAGTAGTAGTAGTAGTGATATAAGTTGTAGTAGTTGTAGTAATACAATATGGTAGAACAATTAACTTGCACATGAGCAAAAGGATATAAAAGCTATTACTTGGGTAACATAAAAATAGGTTAGACAAATATTTCTGTTGTGAATTGTGTTTCTCACCTTCTTTACCATAGGGCTGGCACTAGGAACTTTTTTTTGGGCCCATGGTGGCTTATTTCGCAATGGCAATCAATAAACAAGCACAAAAACTGCGAAATGTTTTGGATGAATGCTCACTCAACCAGTGACAAAACCAGACTGACAGCATTCCTGGGCAGG